TCCAGCAAGTAGTGAGTACTTTTTCAAACTTGTTTTCAGAACGCCCTGGTAGCTGTCAAATAGTTACGCATGAGATACAGTTAACTGCCGACAAACCCTGTAGGACTAAACCTTATCGCTATGATAAACAGAAAGACCTAATCATAGAAGAACATATTCAGGAAATGTTAAAGAACAAAATAATAACGCCCATAAATAGTGAGTACGCGAGTCCAGTCGTACTATGTAGGAAAAACAACGAGTTTCCTTCTTCGGATAAAAGGGCTTGGAGGTTTGCTATCGATTACAGAAAACTGAAAATTATTACTAAATTCCCAGTTTACCCTTTGCCGGTTATAGAGGAAATTATTAGAAAGATTAAATCTACTAGATACATGACTACTTTGGACTTAACGTGTGGCTACTATCAAATAGCTATGAGACCCGAAGACATACATAAAACCGCGTTTATAACAAAATCGGGCACTTATGCGATTTTACGCATGCCCTTTGGGTTGTGTGGGGCCCCATCAACATTCCAGAGAGCTATGGACATTGTTCTAAAGCCTGTCCTAGGAAAATCGACTTTAATCTATCTAGATGATATAATTATAACGAGTAGTACATTGGAACAACATATTAAAGATCTAGAAGAAGTTTTTAAATTATTAAAAGAGGCCGGTCTTACAATTAATGCCTCAAAATGCAAGTTCGCAACTAAAGAACTTAAATATCTGAGTTATAAAATTTCGCAAAAGGGTATAGAAACTCAAGATTCAAAAATAAAAGCAATCAAGAATTTCCCACCTCCCAACACCGCCAAGAAACTTTCTTCTTTCCTTGGGTAATGTTCTTAATATCGGTCATTCATAAAAGATTTCGCTAATATTGTTGAACCCCTGTTAGTAATTAAAAGAAAGAAAAGTAAATTCACGTGGACAGCGGATGCAAATACCGCATTTGAAAGATTAAAAGATGCGCTCATCAATGCCCTTGTTTTGAAATTCCCGGAAGGGGACGAAAACCTGGAAATTGCAGCAGATGCGTCGAACTATGCGGTGGGTGCGATTCTTATGCAAAATAGCCATCCTTTGGCATTTTTTAGTGAAACGTTGAATCATACACAAAGGAATTATACAGCTACAGAGAGAGAAACATTAGCCGTATTAATGGCTGTACACAAATTTCGAGTTTATTTCGGCAAAGCGCCAGTAACAGTCTTTTCGGATCATGCGGCTGTTGGTAGACTTTACTCGGGGAAAAACCTAACGCCCAGGTTAATAAGATGGGCTTTAAAACTCCAAGAATATAATCTAATAATAAAATATAAACCGGGTAAGGAAAACAATGTAGCTGACGCACTTTCTCGTATAAAACTGGGCGATGAAGGTAATGAACTTAAATGCGCTGTGTTGCCTTCAAAAATTTTAGATTCTAAAGATACAATTATCGCTGAATTGAAAGCTGATCCTGAATTTGGAAGTATCTATGCATATTTGAAAGACCTCGAAAGCTTTGAACATACAGATATCGATGCGATAAGAAATAGAGCAGAAAACTATGAAATAATAGATAATTTATTATTTTATACGAAAACAACAAACGAAAATCTCGAGTACAAACCAGTCATCCCAGCCTCGCTTCGATTAAGCATTTTGAAGGAATTACACGACGCGAAAACAGAGGGTCATTTAGGGGTCAGAAAGACTTTAAAAGGGTACGCGAGGCGATATATTTCCCGCAATTATACAATATAGTAACTGCGTATGTCAGGTCCTGCTATCAATGTCAGTTAATAAATGATATTAATTACAGCCCGGCCGGGTACTTAAATAGCATTTGCGCTACATTTCCGAATGAAATTTTAGGCATAGATCTTCTTGGTCCTTTCCCCCTGAGCGAGTTAAATAAAAATCGTTTTCTTTTAGTAATTGTAGATCATTTTTCAAAATGGACAGAAATTGTTCCACTTAAACGCGCGTCAGCCAAAACAGTCGCAGATGCATTCTTACACAGATACATTTTAAAATACAGTGCACCGATAAATGTCATTAGCGATAACGGTAAACAATTCATTAGTCAAATATTTGAAAACATATGCACTGGACTTGGCATACGCCATATCAAAATGGTTCCGTATAGACCACAGGCAAACATAGCAGAAATATTTAATAAAAATATTATAAAAATAATTCGCAGTTTCGTTAGCACACATCACAAGCGCTGAGATGGCTATGTTGCAACTCAACTCTTGCTGAGATCCGATGGCTGAGTGACGTCATCTCGAACTATGAACTCTCGCTTAGAGATCACGAGAACTCGGGACTGAGAAGTCGCACGCTGCGTCGTGCGAACATTTAACCTTTCATTATGTAAAAATTATGTAACCGTTAATGCCTTCATTAAATATGTTTGTGTTAAGAAAGTTTATCATTTATGGATTATCCCTCTCAAGATTTTGCAGATAGAGTCCCTGAGAAGAATGCATCCAGTGGCCCTGGCCGAACCCATTGGAACAAGGTAAGCAGTTTTGTTTTACCTTGATTAATTAGTTTGAAGTAAGATAAAGAATATAAAATAATAATATTGTGGCACCACAACGTGGGGCCATTGGGTTGAATTTGAACTGAAATTTAATAGATTTTGCTTAAGCAAAAACATGGATTTAGAAAAATTAAAAAAGAAACGATCTGCTATAAGAGCAGTAGTTACGAGGCTAATAAATAAAATAGAAACAGAAATTGATAATGAGGGGGATAAAAATGTAATTGAAGAAACGGTTGCTCAGTTAATTAGTAAAGAAGGAGAACTAATCTTAGCGGATAATGGTATTGAAACTTTAATTGATGTAACAAATTTAGAAGATGAGATAATGTCTAGAGAAGAGTATAAAAGTAAAATTATTATTTGGAAATTACGCGCGAAAAGATATTTAGATACTAATCCACATAGCGCTAATTCTACTTCATATGGAAATGTCACTGAATCGCAGAACAAAATTAAACTCCCCAAATTGGCACTGGAAACATTTTCGGGAAAGGACGTGTGCAGTTGGCCCGGGTTTTGGGCACGATTTGAGACAGCTGTACACGAAAACGAAAGACTAAATGCCGTAGATAAATTTAACTATTTAAAGTCAATTCTTACTTCCGATGCAGAAACTGCAATACAAGGGTTGACATTAACAGCGGAGAATTACGAGAAGGCTGTGAAAATATTAAAAGATCGCTTCGGACGCAAAGAACTAATAATAGATACCCATATGAACAATTTATTAACTCTGACTCCGGTTAAAAGGTCTGGCGATGTGACAGCACTTCGAAAATTATATGATCGTTGTGAAGTACAAATTAGAGGATTAGAATCGTGTAATATTTTACCGGATTCGTACAGTACCTTATTGTATCCGATATTAATAAAGGTGATTCCGAATGATTTAGCACTAGAATTTAATAGGAAATATGAAGATGATAATCAGACAAAAATTACGAATTTGCTCCATTTTCTAAGAAAAGAAATAGAAAGTCGAGAACGTACAGGATTTTTAATTAAGCCAACAGATTCTGAAGTCACTGAAAAGAAATCCCATTTTGAAAATAAGCGGCAGTTTGGAGAACGTTTTCGAGACAGCGAAAGAAATCGGTATTATAATAAGGGTAGAATTCCTTCAGCGGCAGCGTTAAACACATCACTATCTAATAGCTGTTTATTCTGTTCTGAAAATCATACGTCAGAATCATGTCAAAAAACTGCGCCAGAAAAAAGGGAAGCGTTGTGGCGAAGGGGATTTTGTTTCAGGTGCCTCAAAGGACGCCATTTAGGTAGGATGTGCAAATCGAAACTAACTTGTGGTATTTGCGACCGGCGACATCATACATTGATACACTCTGACGAAACGAATGCGTCAGACAAGAGTCCCGTCCAAAGGGCAGTAGTCTCCTCTGTTTCCGATTGCGCAACAGCAAATAACTCATTTCTTCTGACAGCACGAGCTGAAATTATAAACACAGGCAATTGGCGCCAGCAAAGCGTTCGCTTGTTGTTTGATTTAGGATCGCAGCGAACATTTATTAGAGAGGACATCTGTAAGAAATTAAAACTTCCCGTTATTGGAAAAGAAAAAATAAAAATATTCTCTTTCGGCTGCACGACGTCTGAAGCGCAGAATGTTAAAAAAAACCAGGCTCATTTTGCGTAATTCGAAGAATCGATATGAAATCAAAATAGAAGCTTTAATTATTCCTGTCATTAATGGATCACATATTCATTCCCCTAGAAATGAAATAGTTAATCATATTAAAAAACAGGGCATACAACGTTCCGATGAATGGGGACAAGGGAATAAACCGCCGAAAATTTCTTTACTGATAGGAGCGGATTTTTATTGAAAGATAGTTACGGGTAAGGTTCACAGACTGTCTAATTCCTTAGTAGCGGTTGAAACAAAATTGGTTTGGACCATTAGTGGAACCGAAAGGGCTTACGGAATTTCACAAAGTAATGTGAATACTATGAAGGTTGTGGTTCATAATAATAAAGATACACAGAACGAATCACTGTCTAGTTTGCTGAAGAATCTCTGGGAGCTCGATTCTATGGGGATAAATTATGATTCGGATAAGGAACTCGAATTAGAAGATAATTTAGTTTTCGATAATTTCAAAAATCTGTGAAATTTGAAAACAATCGTTATATGTGCGCCTTTCCTTGGAATCATAATTCAAATGAGCTAGGAGATAATCTGGAGATTGCTAAAATTAGATTTAAGAGTTTAAGTCGTAGATTTCAGAATAATCAACAGTTCTATGATACAGATATCGCGAAGTAATTGATAGGTACTTAAAAGAAGGAATCGCCGAAGAGACTAACATTGAAATTGGACCAAAAACGTATTTTATGCCGCATCAAGCCGTTATAAGAGAAAACAAGGAAACTACACAAAACTCCGTGTGGTTTTTGACGCTTCGTCACATGCGGAGAATTGTTTGTCATTAAATGACTGTTTACATTCAGGTCCTAAGATGTGTCCAGACATACTGGAATTGCTCCTTAAGTTCCGTCAAAATCGAATTGCGTTTACAGCTGACATCGAACAAGCATTCTTGCAGATTTCCCTTGCTGATGAAGACAGAAACGCAGTCAAGTTTCTATGGAACGATGGTGAATTAAATGGAACCAAAATAAAGGCTCTTCGTATGACAAGGGTAATTTTTGGAGCAACATCTAGTCCGTTTCTTCTCAGAGCAACTCTTAATGTACATGTTGACAAATACAAGTTACAGTATCCGAACGTATTTTCCATGCTAACTGAAAATATGTATGTTGACGATTTAATCGCTGGAGCAGATGAAGAATCAGAAGCATTCGAGGAATCGGAACATATTAAACGCATACTGAAAGAAGGTGGATTTAACATGCGGAAGTGGAAAACGAATGAAACGAATTTACAATGGGTATGGAACGAAGAAGATTTTCACACGATTCGACTTGTTCTAAAGTATTGGGATGCATATGGAATAGGTCAAATGATACATTTTTGATAGAAATTGAAGAGTTGGTAAAAGATGCCAAAAGGATAGATAACATACCAACTAAAAGGGAAATCTTGAGATTTGTAGGACGTTTCTTTGATCCACTGGGGTTTTTAAATCCGTACACCATTCGAGCTAGAATTTTATTACAAGATTTATGGGAACAAAAGATAGCATAGGACACTGAAATACCAGAAAATCTCAGAAAGAATTGGCAAAGCTGGTGTGATGAATTAGCTCATATTTCTAGTTTGGAAATACCAAGACATCAGTTTGCAGGTGCTGGGAAAAGGGATATAAAGGATGGTTTACAGTTACACTGTTTCACAGATGCGAGTCAGAAGGCCTATGGGGCTGTTCTGTATTTTCGTTATTCGAAAAATGGAGTCATTCATACAAGTTTCATTACATCAAAATCACGAGTAGCACCTCTGAAAAAATTATCACTTCCCAGATTGGAATTGATGGGTGCTTTGATAGGCTCGCGCTTGTCAAATTACATTCAAAAGAAACTTCGGGACATTGATTTAATTGTATATATGTTACTGATTCTAGTATAACGTTACATTGGATTAGAAGTGATGTGAAAAGGTGGAAGCCATTCGTTCAGAACAGAGTGAAGGAAATACAGAAGAATTCAGATGTCTTGAACTGGAGATACACGCCTGGTGAACATAATCCAGCTGATTTACTAACTAGAGGTGAAAATGTCAAACATCTGAAGCAGAATAGCATATGGTGGGAAGGGCCCACGTGGTTGAAAGGAAGAAATGGAACACTGGCCAAAACCGAATTTATGTTCCACAAAGAACATTGAAGATTCCAACAAGGAACTAAGAAAAACATCGAAGGAAGTTTTCGTAAATTCATGCGTTACCGAACCTTCCGAAGATTTATTTAAAACCCAAAATTACAGCAATTTACACCGAATTTATACCGAATTACTGCGTGGTGCTTAAGGTTCATCAACAATGTTAAAAATACCTCGAAATTATCAGGATGTTTGCAGGTTACCGAATTGGAAATGGCAGAAACTTATTGGATCAAACGTGTTCAGGAGCGAAATTTTACAAATGAAATACGGGCATTGAAGAAACAACGATGAATTAAGTTCAAGAATCAAAACTGAAGGTCCCTCAAGTCCATTTGTAGACGAAAGTGGTGTAATTCGTGTTGGTGGACGATTAGAAAATTCAAATTTGGATTACAAACAAGCACATCCAATCGTGTTGCCCGACAAAGATCATTTGACTGATCTAATTATTCTTCACAGTCATCAGGTGGTAGGGCACGGAGGAATAGCAGATACTTTAAATCAGATAAGAGATAAATTTTGGTTGCTGAAGGCTCGTAGGAAAATTAAAAGTATTCTGTACAATTGCAATGTCTGCAAAATATTTCCAATGAAACCTGTCATGCAAGATATGGCACCTCTCCCACCAGACAGATGCCGAGAAGCTTTTCCGTTTGAAAACTCCAGGATAGATTACGCGGGTCCACTGTACGTCAAAAGTGGAAAAGAATTATCTAAGACATACGTTTTACTGTTTACCTGTGCTGTAACTAGAGCCGTGCATTTAGAACTTACGGCTGACCTTTCCACAGAAAAATTTTTGCTTGCATTTAGACGGTTCATAGCGAGAAGAGGTTTGTGCCGAATAGTGTACACCGATAACGCCAAAACCTTTAAAAGAGCGAAAAAAGAATTAGAGCTATTGAACGAGGTGATGAAAAGCAATAAAGTTCAAGACGAGTTCTCTAAGCAAGGAATCAAATGGAAATTTATAGTTGAGAGGGCGGCATGGTGGGGAGGCTTTTGGGAGCGTATGGTTCAGTCTTTTAAAGCTCTTCTGAAGAGAATCTTAGGAAAATCATCCTTGACATTCAGGGAATTAGAGACAGTCATAACAGAAGTGGAAGCTATATTGAACTCCAGACCTTTAACATTTACATACTCGGATCTAGGAGAACCAGAATCTTTGACCCCTGGTCACTTCTTAATAGGAAGACGATTACTATCATTGCCACAAGGAAGCTCTAAATTAACTTCAACAAAGGAGAGTCTTACACGTCGATTTAGACATCAACAGATACTGGTAGAAAGAATCTGGCGAAAATGGAGGCAGGATTATTTGATGAATTTAAAATCTGCTCATCATTCCAAACTGGCGAAAACAGGAACCTGTTTGAAGAAAGGAACTATTGTATTAGTGCATGAAGATAAAATTCCACGGCTGATGTGGAAGACGGGCATCATAATGGAAGTCTTTCCTGGGAGAGATAGCAAGGTGAGAGCCTGTGCTGTCCGCTTGCCCAATGGACATATGATTAAAAGACCAGTGCAATTACTATATCCGGTGGAGCTGGAATGTAATAAGGACAATTACGGCAATTGTCCTTCCGGGCGGGAGGATGTTGCAACTCAACACTTGCTGAGATCCGATGGCTGAGTGACGTCATCTCGAACTATGAACTCTCGCTTAGAGATCACGTGAACTCGGGACTGAGAAGTCGCACGCTGCGTCGTGCGAACATTAAAACCTTTCATTTTGTAAATATTCTGTTTGCGTCTTCATTAAATATATTTGTGTTAAGAAAGTTTATCATTTATGGATTATCCCTCTCAAGATTTTGCAGATGCACAGCACAGAGGAACTTCAGCCCATTGGCCCTAGCCGAACCCATTGGAACAAGGTAAGCAGTTTTGTTTTACCTTGATTAATTAGTTAGAAGTAAGATAAAGAATATAAAATAATAGGCTACATAAATGAATTAGCTTATGCTTTAAGCACGGCAAATCACGATACTACGGGAAAAACCCCAGCAAAATTTTTTTAGGCCGAAAGTTAATTACGCCTTTAGATAAATTATTCTTTGTGCAACAAAGAGAGCAAGAATTTAAACAGAAAGATGTGCAAAAACTTATTGACCAGGCGATTTAAAGCTCGGATACGGCAAGAAATAAGCAAAAAGTGTATTACGATAGAGAACGCCGTGAAGGAGATTTTAAAGTTAGGGATAAAGTATTGAAACGTAAATTTTCTTTATCAAGTGGCCCAGACAATTTTACTGCAAAATTAGCTCCAAAATTTGAAGGCCCCTATGTAATTCAGGAAATCAAAGGAGTCGTATCAAAGGAGACCTTAACAACGGGAGAGGGGAAATCTGTAAAGCAAGTCCCGACCAGGTGAAAAAATACTATAATCAAAATGATTTTGAAATCCTTAAAAGTTCCTTGCAGGACTCAAGCGTAAAAGAAGTAGAAGGTCCAGAAATAACGTCACCCGTTCCACCACCCAAGAAGCAGATACTGAAGAGAGACCTAGCCCTTCTACAACGACGGTACCGAAAAGAATAAACGAAAACTTTCAGACTCCAGCATTTAAGAAAAACAAGAACGCAAAGCCGCCGCATAAAGAAACCTTGGTAAAGAGGAAAACACCACTTACAACGTATGGCAGTAGAAATTATACATCAAGGAGAACGCTCCCAGGGCCAGAGAGTCAGGTGCAAACAAGGCCGCCGTTCCGGAATATAAAAAGACAGCAGGAGGAACGAAAAGACCAGCAACAACAGAAGAAATTCAAGAATGACTTCAGACCGGAGGACGCCAAGTCCAGCCGTCCAGGGGAAAAATGAAAAAGACAGCACCCCGACGACTACTACTCCAAGAGGCCAGCATGCAGAGGACGAAAAAGACAAATTAGCGTGGACGACACTCGGAGGTCATTAAGGAGAAGATTGACGTCCATGAAACCTATAACGTGGGAACAGTTCTGCCAGAAAAGAATGACGGAGTTCCAATCATCGAAAATTCAAAGATAAGTTAAAATCTTCTATAATTTTTTTTTTCTTTTGTTCCAAAATGTTATGCGTAAATACGAAGTTCTATGTTTTGACGAAAGTCAGTGTGTCTCGGTTGAGACTTAGTTTTGTTTTACTATATTTAGCTAAGGCAAAAGTATTATTTTCTTTAAGTACAAAATCTAAGAACAAGCAGTTTCTGTTGGTCGAAATACTAATTCTGTTATGTTAAAGCCAAAATTTGGCCGAAGATAAAAATAACTTCGTATTCTTGTATTAATAAGAATTGTAGCTTCAGTGCCGCCAGCTTGGCGAAGAATGAGTAAAGTAAAAATTTATTTTTCTCTTATTCATTTTATGGTAAATTGTAAAAAATCATATGTATTAGAATTTTGTAAATATACGTAAATACTTGAAAGTTATGTAAAAGTAGAATTTAGTCTAGAAGCATAAAATTTTAGATGCTAAAAGTAAATGCTCAAAAGCAATGAATTCAAATTTAAGTATTAAACTGTAGATAAAATCATGCTTTAGAGCGAAAGCCTGCATGTCTAAAGATGAATGAGGGGGAAGTTAGAATGAATGTGTTTTGTAGGGTTCTCCACCTACACTTGAATTTTAAGAATGTTAAAGTAGCTCATCGAGTTGTAGAATGTCGATTAAGGTGTGTCTATTTGGTCGTTGAATTCTAACAAATCATGGTGGTTATGGGAAGTGTTGTAATACTAAAACACGAATATTCCCGTTTGACACCACACATGGTGGAGAGCCAGTGTAAAGTTAAATTAATGTTTGAATACTTGAATGAATCTGAAGTAAGCAGTAACTAAGGAAAATAAATCGTTTAAAAACAAAAATTTATTCAGTGTCAAGAAAGTGTAAATTATAATGTATTTAGAAAGATACTGATACTTGTATAATGTATTTAGAAAGACTTGTATAATGTATTAGAATATAATGTATTTAGAAAGATAAGTGTAAATTATAATGTATTTAGAAAGATACTGATACTTATTCCTTCCAGATGCTGGAAGGAAAAGAACAAGATTGTTTGCTGAAGTCCAGGAAAAGTTGCTGTAAGAAGAGAGATTTAAATAAGTATCTACAGAAATTTAGTATACCTTTTGTGACATAAGATTTTTTATGTAAACAAGGCTCTTAAAAGTTAGTTCAGAATTGTAGAAACTTTACAACAGGTCGTTTGTAGGACCTGCTTCCAAGTTTTCCAAATTCTGGCAGCGGCAAATGTAGGGTTTATATTTATTTTAACTAACATTTATTTTAAGTTTAAACTATCTTTCCTGTCAAGCCTTACTTTCCCCTGGAACTGCCAATGCCAGAGTATGTAAATTTTAGTAGAACGCGCGAGGATTCAAATTTATCAGCGGAAGTATTCTGAGTTAAATAGAAAGGAAACGAGTTCGAAAGTGTGCTTTCTTGCTTCACGAGTGTGGAGGTGGCTAGTTAGAAATTGAAGAACCACGCGTTTCGGCCTGTGTGCTTGCCTCGGCAAATTGTTTATCTTTTAACGTAATATTCAGAGTTTGCTGAATTATCAGCGTTATTTTAGAACGCGGTGAGGTTAGTTACGTTTAGAGAGCCTCGTAGTTAGTGACTTGTTAGTATCTCTTTTTAGTTTCTTATTTTTATTTTAACCGCCGGGTCGGCGTAGTTTGTGAGCGTCAAGAGCACGCATTTGTGTTAAGAAAGTTTATCATTTATGGATTATCCTTCTCAAGATTTTGCAATAATAATTTTGCAATAATAAATGTTCAAGTTGAATAAAAAGGGACTTAAACCCTTCTCAAGACTCTGTCTAATTTCCAGTTTCAGCAGTCACCACCTTTTTGCATGCAGGTTGGAGGCGCGCAACTTTACAAGTTAATAATAACACGTCTGACATATTACATGAATAAAATTTCCAGATCAAGTCAGAAACATGTTTCGGTTAAAATGCACATAAAAATTAATCGTGAGTATTATAATAATAAACCAATGAAACAACTTTTATGATATGAGCATAAACAATATAACATGAGTTAATAATAATAACTAAAACTGTTTAATTAATTGTTTAGTTTGTCTTAATAATTAAGTTAATAATAAACTAATAGCAAGTTTGAAAGACTGTGGACAATTAACAACGAATACTGTATATGTGCCAGTTTTAAATCTATCTATATGAAATTTTGAGTAACTTGTGCTTAACGGTGTGTAACTGGCTTGCGCTGCACTATTAGTACTATCGGGATTATTAGGTGAGCTTTGGGGAAAAAAAAAAAAAAGAAAAAAAAAGCTTGCGTATTTATTAATGAGCGGTCTTTTGCTTTAAAAGCAAGTATTCAATGTTTATCTAGCGACTGAACCAAAATTACTACTCCGTCCTTTTAGCCAAGTCAAAATTTGTTGCTCTTAAATTTTGTGAATAAAATATTAATATGATTAGTACTTATTTAGTAGCAGGTTAATATAACTGCTCGGAGCTAAAAATAACGAATTATCCCTCACTTTCTGCGTGTTTAATGATGTAATTGTTTGTCACATCCAGCTAATACCTGAAAGATCCGAGGTTCGAGTCCCGATGAATGCCCAGTTTGTTTTCTGTATTTCCTTGCGTAAAATATCTAATCATCTCTACACTGGCGCCCGTATTAAAATGTGGTAGATATAATTCGTCTTCGCGTCAAGTCTCGGGCGTATCCTCAGTCGCTCTATAAGCGAGAAAAAAATGTAAGAAGTTATCGCATTCTTTACTGCGTGTTCTTGTTGTGTAAATGGTTAGCACATCCAGCTAGCACTAGAAATTTTCATGTTTGGAATACTGGAGATGACATTGTTGATTTTTCATGCTTCTTGCTCCGGAAATCGTAGTAGTTTCTTTAAGTTAATTCTTCATTCATGTTTAGTACCAGAAACTCCACAAGAAGGCACACACAACTCCTAGTTAATTTCTTTTGTCTGTCCGCAGCATCTTTTTAAATAACAGATAAATTTCCATCTTCTCGACAAAGATGATATGAAACACGAAATAAAAATAAGCAAAACGCGAGAACTCTATTTATTATTTAAGTAAGTAGCTTACGAATGAAAAACAAAATTTACTCTAAAATTATCTGCAGCTGTAAATGATCAATTTCATTATCAATTGAAAAGCTTAGGTTTTAGATTTATTCAATATTTTAGTTGATCTTTACATCCGCCAACCCCGTTTATATTTATCACGACTTCTCTGAAAAAGCATCGCATAACTTCCTCGGGCTAAAATTCAGGAGTGAATTAAGAGCATTACTAATTGCTGCTGATTTTTTGTCAGCCGTAAAATCAATAACAGTTATTTACAGAAATCCGAAGTCATACAATTTTTAACTAATTAGTAAGAATCTTGGATTATTAGCTAAAACATGGTCCCATTGCATGTATTTCTTTTTTAATTCTGTTTTTTTTTTTTTTTCACCTTGATATTCATTGCCAGCAGTAAAGAGGATACCTAATTAAGTAAATAATAAATTCTTTGAGAATTTCTTCTATGATTTTAACGAATATAAAGAATCAGGAGGGAATAATTTTATCGCCAGGTGGAAATGTCATGTAAGAAGCCTATGCGATGCTAATCGAGAATTGTTTTGTTCGTATCAAATGAATTGAA